ACTGATGTAGTAATTGTGTATTGAATGTACCCCACTTACAATGTTGTGTTTATACTATTCGAACAGATAAGAAAGCCTTTTTTCTGGTGAGTACATCACCAATGGGACCACAAATTTATGAACTTGTAGCAGGGACAAACAACGAACGAAAAGTCTGGTCCGAAATCATTACAAGAACGGTGGATGGTATGAAGAATAAAGACAAGAGAGGAACCAATATCACACCCGTGCCCAGTCAATTGCCGCCTCCCCCACCATACTCTGAACTGAACGAAGCAGTTGAAGAGAAATTAAAAACAAAATCAAGGTGTGTGCTTTATCATGGCTATATTTTGCAGTGATTATCCATATCCATCTTCCAGCATCTCTCCACTTCACATTTCCATTTTTCCAGCTACATCTTTCAAACCAATTTTTCAACTTTCCAGCAACATCTTTCAAACCAGTTTTTAAACTTTCCAGCTAACTTTTCGCCACTGTACAAAATTTCTGTTTGAAACTTTTTTCGTTGTATTATTTTCATGTTATCAGCTCAAACTGATTCTTAGTCTGAATATTGTCATTAAAAATTTTTTTTTTGGATTTTTGAAGGAGTGAAACAGAGAAGATCAATGAAAAAAATAAAAGTGACAGTCTGGATAGATTAGACAACATTTTAGAAATCCAAAATCCTCCTGAACTAATTGATCCGGCCAAAGTGGTTGTTGTTAACCACCCCAGTATGGATGATAAAACTGAAACTGTCATGCCACCACGTGAAAAACTTAAACAAGTGGATGAGACAATTCAAAAAGCATTAGTTGAGAAGAGTCAAATCATTGCTGAGTTGTTAGGAGCGCCACTAACACCGACAACGGTAGATCAGGTAAGTTGATAGACCCATTTTCCAGTCACTGCAAGACCCTACAGTATGTTATGCATGACGTCAAATGTAAAATCATGGCCGACAAACTTCATAGCACTGTTACAGTAGTGGCATCAAAACGTTGCGTGGGATTTGACAAACAAGTATTTCCATTGTGTTGGATTTCCACACTCTATAATGCGCTATACTCATTTGATGATAGTCAATTTTGATGATGTATTAAAGGGTATCTCAATGCCATATTCCCCTCTGAAAAATACGAATTTCGACGTTGACCTATAGAAAAGAAAAAAAATTAAGTTTAAAATCAAATCAGTCTGCTGAGTGAAGTAGAGAGTTACGGAAATCTAGTTGTGGACTTGTTTTCTTGATTTAGAGTTTGTCAAACTAGAATCTGATATTTCTGAAGCAACATCCAGACTATCTTGGAAAAGTCTTTTGATGTGGAAAAACTTTCTGACTCATTGCGGAAAAAAATCATTTTTTTTTCTGTTACTATAGTCAGCTAATTTTTTTTCTGCCTCATTTGCAACCTTTGTTTAATAGTTTAGCCTAAGATTCAGGCCAATTGTTTTTAGCTCCGCTGTTGACTTTGTCGAGCGGAGCTTATCATATGAGTGATTGTCTGTCGTTGTCCTCGTCCGTCGTCGTCCGTGTCAATGTTTTACTTTTTCAACTTCTTCTTGAAAACTACAAGCCTGAATGCTTTGATACTTGGTGTATATGTACCTTGGGTAGACCTCTCTTAGGTTTGTTCATTTCATGTTGATATCTTCAATTCTCTAATTTTGGTGAATATTTGTGTCATTTTTGGTAAAAAGTGATATTCTCGACTTCTTGTTAAAAACCGCAAGTTCAATTGCTTTGATATTACATATATAGGTACTACATGTGAATCTGTCTCAGATTTGTTCATTTTGTAATGATATCTTTAATTCTCTAATTTTGGTGAATATTTTTGTAATTTTTGGTAAAAAGTGATATTTTCGACTTCTTGTTAAAAACCAAAAGTTCAATTGCTTTGATATTACATATATAGATACTACATGTAGACCTTTCTCAGATTTGTTCATTTCAAGATGATATCTTCAATTCTCTAATTTTAGTGAATATTTTTGTCATTTTTGGTAAAAAGTGATATTTTCAACTTCTTGTTAAAAACTGTATGTCCAATTGCTTTGATATTACATATATAGGTATTACATGTGTAACTCTCTCAGATTTGTTCATTTTGTGATGATATCTTCAATTCGCTAATTTTGGTGAATATTTTTGTAATTTTTGGTAAAAAGTGATATTTTCGACTTTGTGTTAAAAACCAAAAGTTCAATTGCTTTGATATTACATATACAGTACAGTTCTCGCGGAAGCTTTGGCTTTTGTGGCATCATTGTCGCCTACGCATGGCTTCATTGTCGCCTCAGCATCGCATCATTGTGGCATCAGCTTCGCGTCATTGAAAATTGAAGCTGTGTTCGCCTCGCTATTTTGTGGCATCATCGTGGCCTCAGCTTCGCAGTCTCATGGCATCAACATGGCATCAGCTTCAAAGTATTGTGACATGAGTATGACCTCATTATTTGCACGCAGAAGGGCAGTAGACAAAAACATGTACAGAAGTTCGATATGTAATCGATTTGAAATTCAAGGCGAATAAAATAATATGATCAAGAGTAAAATGACATTTTAAAAAGATATCTTGTTTAATTATTTTAGTGTTGCG